TAATGATCTACCTTAATCTATTTGGGGAGGGAAAAAGATAAGATTTTATAAAAAACATTCTTTTAAGAAGCACTCATAATCACTTGTAATTTCATTAAGTTCTTGTTTATTGTATTTTGAATCCTCTATTTTTCTCTACAATTTTATCCCTCCTATCAATATATTGGTCTTTGAATATTGAGACAACCAGCCCCCCCCCCTGAGAAAATAATTATTCATTTCTAGTTAGTATTGAAACAGCTAAAGATAAATATGTACTAATTTCATTTATTTCAATACATTTTCAGTTTTTCCAGAGGTTGTACATCTACTAAATAACAATCTATTGTATACATTCAGTTTATTATATTATGTTGAAGTAAGAAAATGATTCCTTAATTAGCTTTAAAATATAGATCAAATTTAATGGCTTAGGAAGATGAAAATCAAGATAGTAACATAAAAAACGTTTATTGAATTTATATTAAAATTTAGACAAATATTCTATCAACTAAATGACAATTATTGAAATTAATTACAATTATTTTAACTCATCAAAACTTGATCCCCTATTTTCTTCCATCTTTTACTTTTTAAGTATCGTTTTAATTTATTTAATACTCTTCTGGTTGCTAGAACTGTTGATCATCTTAATATAAAAAAGGTACAATGAATTAATAGGGTTTCATATAGATTTAATTGTTAAAAGAGTAATGATTTAAAAGTTAACTATTGTTATTCTAAACTCGAAATTCGTTCGATAATGAATAATTCTCCTTGGTTTGAATTATCCATTAAATTTTACACTAAGTTTAGATTAATATTTTTTCAAATAATAATTTACACTTTAGCAATAATACAATTTTAAGTTACTTGATTTGAGGGATTGTGACAGAAAACTTGACTTTTTTGGCATGTAATGTCACTTCTACGTAAAAACTATATTCAATAAGGTTATTAAAGGTATCATTGGTTTCAATAAATTTCCAAAATGGTTAAAGTAAATTAAGAAGAAATGCATCCATGCTTGCTTTAGTGGCAGGGTTTAATTTACTATACTACCTTAATAATAAATTGTTTTATTTTAAATAGCGAAAATTGCTTAATAAATATTTATTCTAAATGAAGAAATAAATTTCATGAAATTTAAATCTGAAGTAATAGTTTATTTTATTATTATCTTTAAATGTATAACATTATTTTTATTACACTCTCTTAAAGTTTGTCCTTTTTTTTCATTTATTCTATCTAATT